TTTAAGCGATTAATTATTTCCTCGCGTCTTTTCTACAATGTTTTTTCGCAATTCCATTTGCACGTTTGAAAAACTGCATAATGGATAAAAAAAAAAAATGTACATAATAAGAATACGACGTTGAAGTTACATTTGCAACATTGTTAAGCAATTCGAAATGGAAATGAAATTTTACATCCTGTGCAACGAAGTTATGTACTTAAAATAAAAATAAAATTCCACACTTCGCAAACATCGCGTAGTTTGCTTGGAAAATTCTTAGCTTTGCGCATCAGGAGATTTCTGCTGTTTCTTCTGTCTTTTCTTATTTCTCTTTTTTATTTATTTATTTAATGTTGCATCAGTTTATTCGCCATCAGCGACCTTACATTGACAATTGTTATTAACTAATTAGCCTCGGTATAACATATTTGGTCACACATTTTGATCTTTGCTTAAACAAATTGTAACTATTTGCTGGTATAACTTTGGTCGTGCAGGAATCGGTTCTTATTTTTATTCATATGCCAGAATGAAAATATTTTAAACAATAAGAAACACTAAAACTATTATTTCCATTGTTTTTCTACAAATAAACTTAGTCCCTTTGAACTTTCGATCTGTTTAAAATTCTTCCTCATTTCCATTGTAAAAAGGAAGATGTATATTGAAAATCAAGCTTGAAGATAGCTTGCAAACAATTACACTTTCACGTGTCGCTATTAATTTAATTAATAGTTAATTAGTTTTCACTTTTCATTATTACTCGAAATTGGAATTAAGTGACAGAAATTTCATCGAGACTCGAACAATTTTGTATATTACCAGTTAACTGGCTCGTTTGTCAGCGTTATCCTTGCTTTCACTTTTTTGCTCGCTGGCTGTAACTAATAATTAGGCAACGTTCGAAATATGGCGGAAATTCATTTGCAGAATCCACTCTCTCTAAATGTACTTACATGTACGACTTAGGTGTCATTTTTATTCTACAAATAATGATCGTCCTCGTAAAATTCAAGGTCGCATTATTTTTCTCCTATTAATAGCGATTTAATACCTGTGTCACATGATGTTTCTAAAAAGCAAAATGTCAGCGATACGCGATTTATGACGAGAATCTGTTGGAAAAAGAAATTATATCGTACATATAGTGTATTTTTTTCTTACTAATAGTATTCTAATACTTGGTAATTTTTTTTTCATATTATATAGTGGATTTATAACCGGTACATCTCGTTAGAATTCATTTGGCGTTATGTAATTTTAATAGGGAAGATAGTGAATAATTAATATTTACGTTATTTTTCATTTAGAAGCATAACATTTACTATTAGAACAAAGTAAAATAATTTGCCTATTTCTTAACAATGAAACAAATAAATACAAATATCTTCTGTTCCGGTGAAAATATTTTGTG